TAGTGCTGCTGCCATTGCAGCGGCTTGGTTCGACGCTGCCGGCATTGCTGCCGCTGCAACCGCGTGAAATGCTGCTGCCGCTGCTGCAGGGGATGAGAAGGGCGCCAGCCCTCTTGCGAACGCATGGGAAGCCACAGCTGAGTGCGGTGCAAAGGGAGCATTGCCTGCTGCGGCAGGCAGCGCTACTGCTGCAGCCGGTGCTGCAACTCCTGCAGGGGGCCTTGTGGCCTCTGATGTCGAACGGCCGTCCATGAAGAAGCTCATGCCCTTGGACAGGAGGGCCTCCAAAGCAAGACACCGTGCAATAAATCAACAGGACCCCTGGACTTCTGCTACTGAGCGCTTCTGCTGTATCTCAATATTGTTGGAGCAACGACTGCTGCAGCTCCTCCCGTCGGTGCTACCACGGGGGCCCCCACAGCTGCTGCTGCGCCCGGAATAGCCCGCGCCGCACAAATATCTGCGTAGGACGCAGATGAGGCCAACTGATCGTCGAGAAGTCCAGAGAAAAGGAGGAGATCCGGAGGGGAGACGGACAGCAGCGGCAGCAACAGCTGAGCAGCTGCGCTTAAGAGGAAACGAGAGGTCCCTGGGCCACCGAGAGGCCCGTCCCTCGATGCAAAGGCAAAATAATGTTTGGGCGCGGGCAGTCGAATAAGCAGAATCTATGAGCACCACCTTCTACCACCCTTTGCAGGCATGCAGGCCGACACCGCAAAGCTGCAGCAGCTAACCGCTGCTGTTGATGCAGACACACGCACAGAAGACTCGGGGTGACGCACTACTCCCCCTATCCCCAAAATAAGAAATTCGACGCCGCAGCACGAACAACTGCAGCAGCAACTCCAGCAAAGGAGGCCCCATCAGAAGCGTGGGCAGGAGGGCCCTCGTGCACGGGAGGCTGCTGGCCCTGAGAGCTGCAGTCGTCCCTGGTATAACATCAAGAGCTGCGTAGCCTATCGAAGGAAGCCCCTTTAGAGGAATTATCGTAGATATAGGAGAGACCCTGGATGGGGACCATATACTCTCCACGAGTCTCACGCAAAACGACGTTCTGTTGCATCCCGCGCTTTCTAGGTATATGCAGCTGCTACAGCAAAGCGTAAGAAGCGGCATCAAAGAGCCGACAAGGGTGCTCGTGTTAGACACTTAGACGTAGTCACAACACTAGGCGAACTGGCGTTAGTATATGAGGCAGCAATGCAGTATAGTCTACGCTCTTGTACATGGGTGGCATGTGGCTGGTGCTTCCACATAAACTGCATGAGTCTGCTGGAGTCAACTATTTTGCCACGAATTTAGTAAAATTGTGCATCTTTTCCTTTTGTCTTGACACTGCTTACTAGAAAGGAGTTTTTTTGGAGATAGCAAAACAAGAACCGCTGCAATGGACGCGTCTCTGGTGAAGCAGCCACAGGCGTTCGAGACACAGTGCCTGCTTGAGAATGTACTCGCACGGCGCATCGAGGCTGTTTTTCCTGGATCTTTAATCTCAAGAATTTCATCTCGTAACTCATGATTGTCGGGGAAAGGGGATGAATTCACATAGCAAAGCTCTCGAACACGTTTACTGACCGGCCAGCTGAAGGTGCTGGCTTCTTATAAATGCGCGGTAGTTCAAAGGAGAGCTCACAGCTGTTGCTTCGTGTTCATTATATTAGTTCAAACTCTATAGTGACAAGGCATGAACGTGCGGCGCTAAACTCCATGTGCTGTGCTCTGGGCGCCGCTAGATGCAGCACAGCCTGAAAAAAACTGGAACGGATTTTGCCGGTATACGAATATTGGCGAAGTCCAGCATCAAAAGTACTTTACTGCGACACTGCAGAGGGAGACTGTGGCGGCTGCCTATGAAGCAGCGTTACAAGGACAGTCTTCAGCAACGCCGCCTACCCATCGTCTTGACTCAGCACTCACGTACAAGCATCACATACAAATATCCCCAGAGTCTCGAACACTCCCAGCATCTTGCACCTCATATTTGCTTGGTTGCATGTAACGGCTTCCCATACTTCGATTTCTTGTGAATAGTAACAAACCGGCTAGTCTCGGTTCGCTCCGCGGCCCCAGTGTCAAGACTGTTATTCCGCCCCTTGAGTGTTGCACAGGACCTGGAGAGCCATAACGCGTCTCTCTCCTGATAGCCATGACCGAAGTGCAGTGTAGATACATCTATCCCATGCTGCACTAGTGCTATTCTTTAGTGGAGCGAACTATCCCCAAATGCAACTTGCCTGTGCAGCCTTTGGCTCTGTGTGTTGTGCTGCTTCCCAAGAAGGCGAAATTGAGCTGGCGTTGCCTAGAGCGGTTTCAACTATCCACAAGTCAACTTACCGCAGCACAACCGCTCCGGCCCCATCGTTTGGAGCCAATACCGTTCGCGGTGAAGTGAATCTCAAAAAGCCCTGGAAGTCTTCATGGTGCATCTGCCCAAGTGCTTCATAGACTGTTGGTGCGCTGAAAATGCCACTTTAAGGCACGGGCACTCCGATTTCCTCATTAGGTGTTCCACTTCGCTAGCTATCTGACGAACAAGATGTTCCCCGTTAGCAGCACTGCCACCTCTCCCTACTCAGTTTTTGCAAAACAAGAGAACCGTTGTGAGCCACGCTTACGAGGGTAGCTAAGCATCTTTGAGCTGCATGTGAAAGCCTTTTGTCGGCTTTTCTTGCCAGCAGGGAATTTTCGAATTTGCCAGAGGTTTTTAAAACACGTAGTGCCAAATATCTACTCAAAAACGTGTCATCAATATTTCGGGAGAAATCAACTCATACATACGAGACGTCCATTTGCTGGCAGTGCGTGGATTTGCTCACGTCTTCTCTCGACCTTGTGCACTGCATTTTTATCTATAGACACTTTTGAGTCTGCGTGCCTAAAATCTGGTTTCGTGTGCATAATTTAAGTCCAACAAGCAGAAGCAGAATGCTGATTTTATTCAGGTTGTTAGAGGCATATGCACCGCTGATTTCCAGCTCATTCCCCGCCCTTTGTGCCGGTGGCAAAACGTAAAGTAGAAGCTCAGTAAAGACTGCTGATGTCCCGCGTTTCCGAATAGTACAGACTCGATATTTCTGCTCACACCACAGTGCCCTGCGCAGCCTACCCTCCTACTCGGGTGATCTTCGATGATATCGCCCCAAGTATCTCTGAAGAATGTCATATATACTGCGTCTCATTTTTGGTCCAAAACAGAAGTCCACTGCCGAGAGACTGCAATGAAAGCTTCGAAGATAAACGCACACACTGGAGGTGCATAGTCAGTAGAGTTGAGAGGGTGTATGTAGTTTGAATCAATGAATGTTTCTGAGCACCAGTCATATAGAAGTCTTGATACCCATATTCGGGATTGACATGCACAAGAAACACAGCTTGTGGAGCCTCCGCTGGCTGTCAAAACAGGGCATTGCACAGTGAGCCAACCCTGGAAGTGAATTCCCCTGATATGACAAGGAGGGAAGAATAAAAGAAGCAAATGTCATACTGGATTTTCGATAGAGAAATAGCTGCTGCTCGCTGTCCATGTGCACCCGTAGATGCGCAGGAGAGGCTGCAGCCGAAGTTGCATGCCAGAGCCCTTCTGCCAGACTGTAGAGTCGGTGACGTGGATACAACTCGATTGCAATGAAATTTTGCAGTAATATGGAGGGGAGTTGTGCTGTGGTATGTCTGCTGTTGCCGCTTTTGTTGCTTGTGCTGTCGCCACTGTCCTCTAGTTGCCGTTGCAGCCCGCAGCTCCCGGCAGCAGCACAGACAGCAGCAGCATCACAATTGCAACATTGCTTACCTCTTAATAAATGAGTTCGTTTCACAGACATGCATAGGCCGCTCGCTCATTGATGTCGTTAAAGGCGGTCTATTAGTGGCAGCAGCCGCACTGCTTCCACTGCCGCCTACGGAACAGCAATTACGGCAGGGGCATAGGCGGAAACTCTCCGGCTGTTCTTTTGTATCCGCTGCTGCCTGTGTCAAAGGCGTGCGAGACAAAGCCCGCACCAGCATTGCTGCTGCTAGTGTTCGAGGTGCTTAGAGTTCTTGGGGACTAGGCGTCCCCCGATCCCCGCCTAAACACCTAGGGCTCTTAGCTTGTTGAGGGATACAGAGTAGGACTTGTATCTTCGTCTATCTTCTCAATGGTCGGCCACTGAGGGCCTAAGACCTGAGCTCCAGGATTTAGGGATTGGGGACCAGGGTCTGGTGTTGAGGCTAGAGCGATGGGCGGAGCTCTTTCCTCGTGGTTCCCGCGCCTCTTTGGGGGGCGCGAAGTGCGGGTATTGATCCTGGGCTTGGACAACGCCGGAAAGACCACTATACTCTGTAGGTTATTTTCACTTCTGCAATTAGTTTCTCCTCTAGGTAGGGCAGTTCTTGACGCTTGCTGTAGGAACGAGCTTTGCTTCTTTCATGAAATACCGCGGCTGCTCGTGCTTTCTTGCGCCCAGAAGATGTGTGATGCGTAATCGTGTTAAGAATAGAAACAACAGGCATGAAGACAGCGATGCCAAAGAGAAGGGGGTGATATTGCCAGTAGCTTCTGCTGCAGTTGGGGCTTTACTGGCCACTGCACTTCTGCATATGTCTTCTTATATGCAGATCGCTTGCACCTCAATGAAGTCATACAAACAGTACCAAGTAAGCGTATGACAGCAGCATTAGTTTCAAGTATAACAACAAGATGTGCAAGAGTAGCAGCGGCGTTAACGCTTCTTCATGCGTGCTTCTTATGCAGCTATTGGTTTCAACGTGGAAACTGTCAAGTACAAGAATATTGAATTCCAGGTCTGGGATCTGGGCGGCCAGACATCAATCAGGCAAGCTCGGAGTGCTGAGTGGCAAGCGTTTAATCATAAACCACAAGTGCCGGAGAAAAACATAAATCTATATCTGATACGCATGTTGCTGTCTTTTAGAATTTAGCTGCATCCTCGTTGCCATGAACCATCACCGGTGTTGAGCGCTACGACGCAGTACGTAAAAGTTGAGTCCTACCAAGTTTCAAGATGCCTACAAGGGTCACATCTCGCTTACAGTAAGGGCCACGTTTTGTTTGCAGGCCCTACTGGCGATGCTACTACCCGAATACTCAGGCTTTAATCTATGTAGTGGATAGCGCCGATGTGGAGAGGCTTCCTGATGCCCGGCAAGAGTTGCTGCTCATGCTTGAGGTGCATTGCTGCAGCAGCAGAAATATCACCGCTGCTGCAGCAGTGCCAACACCTGCTGGGGCTGCTGCTTCAGCGAGCGCTGTGAAGAGGACGTCTTGACAGTAGCAGTGATAGCCTAGATAGAAATCTTGTGCACGCCTCCTCGTCAGAAGTGGTGGGCTCCCAGCAGCGTCAAGCAGTACCGGTAGCGGCTGCATCAGCAGCAGCTTCTTTTGATGTGGTTGCACAGGAAGAAGAGCTTAAAGATGTGGCTCTCGCTGTCATTGCTAACAAGCAGGATCTCCCGCGTGCACTCAACGAGGGGGAGGTATGTTGCGACTTTTGTGGCTGCTGCTGCCGCTTCGGTACTTACCGGTGGTGATACTGGCGGTGCATGGATGGTCTTAGAAGGTCTACCGTGGCCATTTAGTTGACATCCCGTGGTGTTGTATCTTTGTTCTCTCGTCAGTCATACATGGCGCGTACTTTGCCCGGCCGTTACGTCAGACTGGTGCTCGCACTTGGCCTGCCCATTAGACGCAGTGAAGCTTTCTTTTTCTCGTTGGGCTGTTCACTACATGTGCCCTTAACGACGCTGAAAATTTCGGTGGATTTTCTGTACAACTGTATCTCTTGTCGTGTGTTGGCTGTCTGCCTATACGTTTCAATTCACAGGCGTTCAAAGAGGTACTCCCTGAGATCGCTTATCTGCGTGTGTCTTTGTGCCTTTGACAGATTTCAATGGCTTTGGGGCTGCCCACTCTGCGGGACAGACGGTGGTCAGTTTTCAGTGCGTCAGCCGTGAAAGGCGAGGGTCTGTCGGCAGCCATGGACTGGTGAGCAGCTGCTGTGACTGATCGTCCTCTGGCCCTCTTTCTTCTTCTGTTTCTTTGTGATGGTCGGAGGAAGAAACAATGCACGGCCATTCAGCCTGCCTGCTGTCGTCTCGAATTTCGTTTGTGGCCCGCAGCATTCTCTTCCGCTCTTTTGTTTATGTTCGTTCTTTTTCCGTGCTGTCCTTCCATCTTAGTGTCCTTCCTCTCCTCTGCTCGAAACTAAAGGGGCAGCAGGGGAGGGAAGGACAGAGAAAACAGTTCTATCATTCATGGCGTTTATTGCTGCAGGCTGGCTGATGTACTGTCCTGACATCTGCTCGCATCCTCAGCACTCCACAGCAGTTTGACCTGAAGAGCTTGCAGCAGCAGCACGAGTCGTTCCTGCTGCCATATGTGCAGCGCAGCTGTATCCCCTGTTCAAGTAGCAGCAGCGGCAGCAGCAGGTGCTTGTTGTTTCATTTTCGTGCACTACCGATTCTGAAGGGTTGGGGGCGAGCTTACATCTTTCCGCTTCGGTCTCTGTTCTCCTCTACGCTGCCTTATGGTATGTTCCTCTAGCGCGCTCGAGACAATTTTCTCGAGATGCAGCAGCCGCAGCAGCGGCACAGGCATCGGTCGGGGCAGGCTTTAGTGAACGCGGAGCAAGAAGATGCAATGAAGTGGCAACAAATCGGAAGAAGCCGTATATCGACAAAGATTGTCTGTTGGCACTGTGCGCACCACGCGTCTTATTGAAGAGGCCCCCCCAGCGTGGTTTATACAGATAAAAACCAGATCGTGCACAGTTGGCCTTAGATGAGAGGCACAGGAAGTGTATACTCAGCTTCACCGAGCGCCCAGCGGGGCTAAAGTCTTTGGTACACATCTTCGCGTAACTTCTTGGCCCGTGGCCACAGTTAAGTTCTTGCTCCTTAACAGGCAAGAACTCGGCATTGGCTGCATTGCTCTGAGAAAGTCCCCCGCGACGCCGGTAGGTGGTTGCAGATAACAGTAGCCACGTCACGGCAAGATGCGGCTACCCAGTGGCAGCACTTGAACCCCTAGCCCAGCGTCTTAGCTGCTTGGGGTAGATTGCTGGTGTTAGTTCCGGTTGCCGGTGCTGCAGCCTATCCTACTGCTGCTGCCATCACCGTTGATGCTGCTTCTACAGTGCTGGCACTCCATGACTGAGAATCACAACACATCAGGCTTGCGGAAAATCGCAGCGGCCGCAACGCTATGGCAAGCAACTAGCTGCTGCTTCTACTGAAGCTGCTGCCGCTGCTGTTTGCCGGGCGTGTTGCCATTAGCTCGCCAGCTGCAACGTTATGGCGACGGACTAATTTCTTACTCGCTACGAGTAGTGGCTCCAGTGAAGCGGTAATTAATGTAGAGTTTGGCGTAGGTGGTTGCAACTTCACATCGCAAATAAAAAAATCGAAACCGAAGCCACAAATGATTTAACTGCAAATTCAAAAGTATCTGAGTCATAACAGTGTCACTACCGCCGTCTGTAGTGCTGCGGCTGTCCTATCAGTGCAGCACAAAGGATCGTAGTCGCTGCAGTAGTTGTCTGAATTGCAGTGCCGTCGGTGCCGTCAAGCGTAGAGGATCACGGGAAGGTCGTTTTGTTGCAGCTGGAGTTGCTGCAGCCCTTGATTTGACAAAGACTTCTCCCCATGCCCGTTAGAGCGAAACAGGGCAGAATAGGTTGCCTAAAACAGAGCTGCCTATCCGTGCGGACTTGTTTTCTGCAGTCGCTGCGGTTGCTGAGTATCCTGTTGCTGCTTTTGCTACTGTTGCCTTTACAACTGCTGCTGTTGACGCTGTAACCGCCGCTGCTGTTGGTGCTGCATGGATGCGCTACACAACGGAAATTGCGGCGCTGCTGCCTTTAGCTTGCGAAGATGCGTCGCCTCATCAAATGGGACGAAACGCAGTGGCTGTTGCTGCTGTCCCTCTGGCGCTTCGTCCTTCATGCCTTCAACCTCCGCGATGGTCCGCAGTCGCTTGGAGGATCTGCTGGCATCCGCTTCGTCCTCTCTACTGTTGTTGCCGCTACTGTTGCTGTCAGCCGCAAGCAAGTAAAACTTCACAAGGTCGTGCTTCAGCGGGTACACAGAGGTGAGCATCTCCCTTGCAGGCCTGAGTGCAGTAAAAGCAGAACCAGTAACAAACGCTCTGGAAGAAAAGACACAACTTTCATAGTCTTCTACCAGCTGCAGCAGCCACGGTATATCTGCCATGGGGAGTGGCACGCTGCGGAGCAGTAGCGTCGGAAGTTCCAACAACAGTTCTGATCTAACTCTGCAGCAGCAGCAAATGCAGCGTTCACCAGCGGTAACAACAGAGGCACGGAAGATCGCAGCAGTATCAGCACAAATTCCAGGGCGTCACCTGAAGTAGCGCCGGAGCTCCTGCGGGAGGAAGGCAAAGTTCGGGCCTAAGTTGAGGGTAGCAGAGGCCCCATTGAAGAGGGAGACAGCTGGGTGCAGCTCACAGCAAAGCAGAGGCCCCAGGACTCTGTGGTAGACGCAGCCGTTGACAGAAAAGGAGATGAAAGAACGGGGATAAATGACGCCCTTCGGCAAAGTGGACTCGTGCGTCACGTCACACAAGAGCCCTGAACAAGTAGTTAGACGCAAAAAAACAACGGAAAGGCTGTCCCATGTGTTCAAAAAAGGTGACAGTAAAGAAAGCCATGCACACACACAGGCTTCGAAGGAAAAAAAATAACTAGGAAACGGATAGGCTTTAGTCCACACAGACAGACGATAAAACTATATAGATCTGGGCGCAGGCACAGTCAAAGAAAGAAGCAAGTCAAGGGGAGAATTCAGAAAATCGGTGCATAAGAAAGCACAGACAAGACAAACACATCAGAAAAGCATTGAAACGCACACACAAATGACACAAAGGCATACAACGATAAGACACGGTGAGGAAAAAATGAAATTCGAAATTCACCCTTCGCCACAACGGCTTCAGTGGATCTCATGAAGCTCTACTGCCAACAAGCAAACTCATCAACCCCAGGAACAGCCTAGACAACCCAACAATGTCTGTGAACAAAAGATACCTCACAAGGCGTACAGCCACCACCCATTTTCTCTTCCCCCTGAACTGTTTTTCACCTTGCTGCAAGAACCGCCAAAGACTGGGACGGCCTCGAGGGTCCTCCAGAGTGGCTGGAGGCCTTCCAGGTAGATGAACGAAACAGCCGACAATGTCTCCATCACGTAGAGCAGGCGCAGCAGCAGACATATGAGAGGCCCTGGAGGCACCCGCATAGGGGTCTCCGCACGCCGCGCATCCGCATCTGCACAACCCTCCCTTCCTAGACCCTGCATCAACGTTAGCGGCAGCCGCAGCTGTTGCTGCATCCAGCGCAGCTGCAGCAAGATCGTCGCTTGCTTCATCTGTAGGGGGTGAAAGGTGCTGTCCCGCACTACCGCCCTCTACCGCCTCTACTGCCTCTGTAGAACCTTGTGGTCCTAAAGGCTCGTCACAAGGGGGCTGCATTGGAAAGAATATGTCTGAGCGCTTCAGGCGTTTTCGACGGCCCCGAGTCACCACGAAGAGGCCCCGGCGACTGGGAGCTCCTCTCACTAGCTTAATCTCGCGCAGACTGGGGGTGTCACTAGGGCTCGACTTGATATTGCATATGTTTCCACATGTGCTGCAGCTGCAGCTGCACCGTTCTTCAGAAAGTGATGACTCTATCTCGCGCTGGGGGATCTCACAGTAGGAGCCAATCGCGTAACCAAACGGGTTGGAACCCAAAGGGGCCAGCGGAGGAGATAAGCGAGAGGACACGCCGATGCGTAAACAGGGACCGAGGGCGTTGTGAGGGCCAACAACAAATTCATCTTCATATTCCTGAGCCCGCAGAAACCAATGCCTAGCCTTGAAGACCGAACGCTATCCTGCAAGATCTTAGCTGCATGCCGATCGTAAGAAAAGGCCAAATTCCATCAAATTCACTTGTATCCTTTCTATCCTTCTGTTTTTACTTCCCCTTTTCTTGTTGCCCTCGACTCACCTGTCTCCAGTTCACTGTCTGCCTCCAGTTCTATTGCTTCCTGCCTACTACTACCTGTGCCTCTGTCTTACCATTGCCACTTGCTTTGTTGTCTTCGCCGGGCCCCAACCCTTGATGGGCAAGTTGGGCACCTGGTCTGCTGCGTAAATAATGCCTCCGGAGGGGCCTGATCCACTGTGAGGCCCCAAAGGGCCCACCTTGACCTCGAAGTAGAAAGAGCCCCAACTGCAACAGCAGCGTGACAGAGAGCTGCCCCAGTTTCGTCCACCTGCACCAGTCGCATCAGCAGCAGAAGTAAAGCCACAAAAACAGCAGTTAACAGCAGCAACTACATGCTCAAGCTAAGCTGAAGCTGCTGTAACAGCCAGGCGCCGTCGACATGTCATTATTGCGATAAGAGGCCCATCACAAACGCAAATACAGAGCTAGAAAAGGCGAGACAAACACTGGCTCAGGCAAAAGCAAATGTTGCACCGGCGAAAAAATATAATTAGCCACAGCAATATACCAAGATGAGGAGCAGCAGAGTCCTCATGAGCCGGCTTAGTCAAAAACCGGGCAATGCAACTTTCAGGAAAACAGCTGCTGCGGCAGCAGCAGCGCGGCAGGCAACAATCGCAGCTGTCGCGGCACAAACGATGCTACATCACAACCACGCACAACAACAGCACTAGCACGATCACAACTAGCAAGCGGCGCTGTAGTTGAGCTACCTGTGGCTGTATTCCTATCTGGGGACAACTTAACGTTGTGGGTGTATCTTGGGTCGAAGGAATGCTCAACAGATTCGCGGCGAAGAGAAATGCCCAGCCTACGGCCCTCGTACCGCAACAGCCAGTCCGACCCCTCACCTTCACCCTGATGCTGCTGTTGCTGTTGGTGAGACGAAGCTGCAGCAAGTCGGGAACGGCCACGGCCTCGAGGCTGAGCCGTTTGATGCTGCTCACTCTGCTGTTGCTCATGCTGCTTCAACTGCTTCTTGCGGCCATTTGAAAGAGCTCGAAACGGAACGGTTGTCTCTGCTTGTGCTGCAACTGGTGCTGCAACTGGTGCTGCAGCTGGTGCCACAGCTGGTGCCACAGCTGGTGCTACAACGGGTGCTGCAGCTGGCGAAGAAGCCATTGGTTTCGCTGTTGCTGCTGGAGCAGTTGTTGGTGTTTCACCTGCAGCAGGAGCGGCGAACTGAAGAGTTGATGGGTCTCTTAGGACTGCCGCCAGGAGCTGTCGAAGCGCTGCAGCGAGATGTGCGCCCCCGTCTGCTGTGCTGCTGGTGATGCAGTTGCTGTTGCCGCTGTTGCTGCTGCAATTCCTGCTACCGTTGATGCTACTACTGCTGCCGCTACTATCGCCATGAATGCTTCGTCTGATGTTTTCTGTTGTTGTCTTCACAAGCCAAGAAAATAACTGAGGAGGCAGCAGTTTCTTGAGGTTGTCTAGTACCCAAGGCAGCCGTTGCTGTTGCTGCTGCTGCTGCTGTTGTTGTTGCCACTGCATGATCTGTCGCTGCTGCTGTCGTATCATCTGTTGAATGCATTGTCGAGAGGTGACCATTTGCTCCTGCTGCTCCTGAAGCAGTTGCAGCAAGAGCTTGTGCTCTGCTGCTGTGGGGCCCTGTCGTCCCGCCGGCCCACTCTCGAGTCCGGATCTTCCATCGCGATGGCCAGACACTTCTTCTGGAGCAGAATGGCACTGATCTTGAGAGTTTCGCTGCTCCTCGCTGCAGCTGATCAGTCGCTGCTGCGTTGGCTGTGAGGGCCTCATACTTCCTGCTGCAAGCAGGAAATATGCCACCCCCAGCAATGCCGCCGCAGCAGAGAGCTGCTGGGCGACTCTACCGCAGCATCAAGGGCCTTTTTACTGTGCTTTCCGCATTTTTGTTGCTGATGGCGTAGGAGCGCTGCAGCCGCGGCCCGTGTCCCAGGCTTAAGGATCAGGCTGAAGAGCAGCCTAGAGAGGAACAGAAGGTTCCACTGAAGGCTACGACGTGCTGCTTCTGTAAGTTTCGGCTTCTGCAGCTAAAACAATGCGTAAAAATAGCACAATTAATACACACGTCATCGCAGCTGCTGATGCCAAAGCAGCTCCGAGAAATCAGTGGTACTACCAGGTAATGGCAGACCCTAAGTCTGCCCAAAGCCGCAAGAGCAGCAAACTGCTGTTGCTGCAACAGAATATGAAGGGCTCAAAGGAGAACAAAGACAGTGTACAGACTGTAATAGCAACGCATAGATTTTGTTGTTTTTTCGTCTACTTGTGGTACTGCTGCTGCCGACATACGTATGCATGCAAACCGCAGCCGACAACAGCAGCCGCAGCAGCCTGCAAGAAAAGCTGTAATGGTTCTTCAATCAAGCAAGGGCGCTAAACCCTCCAAACTTCTGCACCACAACTGTGGCGACATCTGTGGCAGAAAACTTGCTGCTGCGGTGTCAGCAACGCCACTAGCAGCTGCAACACCTCATGTACTGAAACACGCTTCTTACTTGGGACATTTCAATGGAGTCATTGCGGCTAGAGAAGTCAGCTGCAGCTTCTGCTGCTGCTGCACTCTTATTCGCCTTCCCAGCCGCGGTAGTTCACTAATTGGCAGTGCAAATGGCTGGAAACACGCCCCAGCAGCAGCAACAGCAGCAGCAGTTTTTGTGCCATCCGCAACCGCAGGTGCATCCGCAGCAGCGACTGCAACAGCGATTCCAACTGGGGCAGCCTCTGCACCCTCAATATATGCCAGAGCAGCAGCTTCGACAGGAACTGCTGAAACAGCAGCTGCAGCTTGAACAGCAGCAAAGGCAACTCCAACCGCAGCCTAAGCAACAACAGAAGCGACCACAAACGCAGGGTCAAGAGCTGCAGCCCCAACAACTGCAGCTGGAGCTGAGGTCCGAACAGCTGCAACTGCAAACGAGACTGCCGCTTCAACAGCCGCAACTGCAGCCGGAACTACTATCGCTGGGGTCTGTGCAGCTCTACCAACAGCAGCACCAGCAGGTACTTCACCAGCAGCAGCAGCAGCCCCTGCAACAGGTTGCGCCCCAACAATTGCAGCAGCCGCCGGGACCCCAACAGCTGCAACTGCAAACGAAATTGCCGCTTCAACAGCCGCAGCTGCAGCCGGAGTTCGAAGCGCTGGGGTCCCTGAAGCGGCAGCAACAGCAGCAGCAGCAACTACTTCAGCAGCAGCAGCAGCAGCAGCCCGTGCAACAGGTTGTGCCCCCGCGACGGAAGCAGCAACTGCTGTATCATGAATCACTTAAGGGTCCCCCGGAGTGCCCCCTGGGCTTGCAGCCGCACCACGCACCACAGAGTCTGCGGCTGCTCGGGGAAAGCCTTTCGGATGCGTTACCGCAGCCGCGCTCCTTGCTGCCTCAACAACGCCACGCCAATCGCAGCGAACAGCATCAGCTGTGCCAACGGCAGCAGCAGTGCCAGCCGCAGTTGCAGCAGAAGCAAGAGCAGCAACGCCAGCAACAGGAGCACTCGACGTTGCGCTGTGCACAGCTGCAGCCGCTCCTGCAGGGAGAACGTGGGCAGTTCCAGCTACAGCTACCGCAATGCCCGAGTTCCCCGTTGCAGCAAGTGCTGCCGCAGCAAGCCTTCCCACTCGGAGAGGCTCCCGCTGGACAGCTAAAACGCGATCCTGTGTTGCAGCTGCAACACCCACAGCGACAGCAGCAGCAGAATCAGCTGCTGGACCATCAGCGCATGGAGTTGCATGAGCAGCCGCATCAACACCCAGGGCAGGCTGAACGTCATGATGATTTGAACCAGCAACATCTGCTGCTGCAGCGGCAACAGCAACAGCTACAGGTGCAACCGTCGCTGCACGATCGACATTTTCAGCAACACTCACTGCAGCGACACAAGCAGCAGCAACAACAACAGCAGCAAGAGCTTGGGCCTCGTCGTCAGCAGCCATACGTGGCCGCTGCCCAGCTGCAGGAAGTGCTATGGCAGTGCATCCCCGACCAACGCGACCAAAACCAAGAAGAACAACAACGGCAGCAGCAAGAACACTTGGGAGGCTTCACCAGCACAAGCATGGCGCGCGCCCTTCCACCACAGCCACCGTCGTTGCAAGGTCAGCAGAGAACGCCGCTGCCGCGAGAGCAACAGCAGCAACAGCCGCAAGGACTGCCCCAGCAACCGCAGCAGTCACAACACACGGCGCAGGATCACAACCATGGAGGTTCAGGAGGAAGGGGCAGTGCCGCAGCTGTTGGTGCGTCTGGAGATTCATCAGAGAAGCTACTTCTGGGTGCCTTCGTGCCCATTACCCAACTCATTAAGGCCCTTGGGGAGACTCGAGGGATCCGTCGCGTGCTCCAGTGGCAACGAGATTGCCTTCTTGTCTCCCAGTCACCTGCAGCAACCCATTCCGAAACGACAACAGCAGCAACAGCAACGCCTGCAGTTGCTGCAGACGAAGTTGCTGCTCTTGAAAATATCCACTCTGTTTCATGCTGTATCCCAGACACTGCTGCTGCTGGCGATGCTGCCTCCGGTGCTTCACTAAAAGAGCGAGCAATGGGAATGGCAGAGCCAGGAACAGCATCTAATAGTGAAAACGAACGTGAGCTAGCCTCAGCAGCGGCTGGAGCCGCTGCTGTTGCAGAAGGAATGTCGTTGCGCTGGGTCGAATCACAAGCAGTTGCAGCAGCAGCAACTTCTAATAATGGACTGCCGAGGGTACTCAATGGCTCCCTGAGCATACTGTACTCTGCACCTACAGGTGCAGGGAAAGGCCTTGTTGCCGAGCTTCTGTTGCTGCGACACATATTTGGTTTGCTGGATATGCCACCGCTAGACACACTACAACAGCAACAGCGAGCAGAGCAGCAGTTGCAGCTGCAGTGGCCGACCTCCGCAGTGACTGCAGCTACTGGTGGCGCTAACGGGATCACACAACACACATCCACGCAAGCGCCATTGTCAACAGTAGCAGCAGAAACAGCATCAACTGAGAATGTAGGGGGCTGCTGCAAGCATCCGCCGAGAAGAGCCGTCGTTGTGCTGCCATTCGTTTCTCTGATAGAAGAGCAACAGCGGAAACTGCAGCGTTTGTTTGCTGCTGCAGGCCTGCCCCTGAAGGTCGTGGCACTACACCACTGCAGCAGAGATACCGCGAGCGTTGAGGCTGCAGCAACAGACCCGGCCGCCTTTGATGTTGCTTTCTGCACCATTGAAAAGGCAGCAGCGCTGCTGCAGCAGCTAGCAGAGAAGAATCTGCTTTTACACCGGCTTGGGCTACTTGTGGTGGACGAGCTGCATGCACTTGGAGACCCGACGAGAGGCGCTCTCTTGGAATGTTTGCTTTCACAAGTTGTTTATTGCAACACTAAGCTGCTGTTGATGCAACAGGAGCAGCAGAGGCAACACGAGCAGCAGCCGCTGCAACCCATACAAGTTGTGGGAATGTCGGCCACGCTTAGCAATATATCTGAGGTAGCTGCATGGCTCTCTGCTGCTGTTTACTGCAACGAACACAGGCCGTTGCCTCTGCAAGAAGCATATTGCTGCTGTAGTGGAGCTCCTGCTGCTACAGTGAAGAGGAAAGGTGGCCAGGGCACTAAGGGAGTGACAGCAACAAACGCGCATCTGCAGGTGCGTTTATTCACGAAGCCTGTTGCTGCTGCCGCCGCTAACCCCCAGCAGCCCTGGCCGGAAGTTGCACTTCCGCCATCAATGGCGCCACTGCTGCAGAAGCTGCATCAGCAGCAGCAGCAGCATCAGGACCAGACCATCGGCAGAAAATTTGCTCGCTCATCGATCGCGACTGCTATGGCGCGTGAGCCGCTGCTCCGGCTCCTGCTGCTGATGCTGCAGCAGGGCAATAGCGTCCTCATCTTCTGCCGCAGCAAAGCTGCAGCAGAGACAGTCGCAGTCCTAGCCGCAGACTACGCCATACCTTTACTGCGGCGGTGCTTGGAGCAGCAGCAGCAACAACACCAAGAGCAGCAGAAGTTCCATTTTCTCTCATCAGCTGCTGCAGATGCTCGCATGCGTCGTCTCCGCAGTGTTGCAGTGCTACAAGGGGGTTCCGTTAAGGACGTTGTTGTTTCTGCTGTTTCTGCTGGGGTTTCTATACATCACGCTGGCCTCACTTCTGAGGAGAGACGCCTCGCAGAATCTCTCTTCAGAGAAGGCATCGTCAAAGTGCTGGCGGCAACTTCGACCCTGGCAGCTGGTGTTAACTTTCCATGCGAGTCCGATTCTGCTGCTATTGCTGTTGTTACCACTGCTGCTAAACTTGTGCGTGTGGTGTTTCAACTGCTGCTCTTGTGGTGACAATCCAAACGGCGGTGCTGCAGATCTAGCATGAGCTGCTCCAACTGGTCGCGGCTCTACGCTGTGCGTATCAAATGGGCATGATAGCAGCAGCTGATATTATTGTCGCGCGTTATGTTGCTGCTGTTGTCTTTTAGATGCAGCTTCTGCAGCGCATTTCTGCGATTTTTGTGCAGCTCTGTGCTATTCGACTCTCCCCACATCGGCAGCAACTTCTTAGACTCGGTTCATTTTAGACAGATGGCAGGCAGAGCAGGCCGCATGCAAGACAAGACTCAGCAGCAGCAGCAGCAACAACAGCAGACCCAGCAGCAGAAAGGCGGCCGGGCCATTGTGGTGTGCAAAGCCTCAGAAGAGAAGGAAGTCAAGCATCTACTGCTGCGTGGAACTCCACAAGTTGAAAGTGCTCTGCTGGCCGACAGCAGCGGCCTGCAGCGACTCATCTTGGGAGCCCTCAGCTGCAGCAGAGGTGATCTTCGCTGCAGCGGCAGCAACAAGGACCTGGCGCTGCTGGTTTGTTGCACATTTCTTGTGACACAGCAACGGAGCAGAGTGCAACAGCAAGTGCAACAACAGCAGCAGGAGATGCAGCATCAAAAGCAGCAGCGTCATTCGGAACGGGAGCTAGCTTTACTAGTGCAAAGGGAGACTGCTGAGGCCGTCTCTTCACTGGTCCGTCTTGGCCTGGTACGTTTTGCAGCTGGGCATTATGAGGCCACAGCAACAGGAAGAGCCATTGCAGCTGCTGCTATGTCGCCGGCAGAGGGTGCAGCAGCTTGCTACCGTGTTGCTGCAGCAAGTAGCAGACTGGCGCTGCACGATGACATCCCCCTTGCCCTTTTGGTGGCCCCAACGATGCCGCTGCCACCGGCAGCGGCCGCGGCAGCAGCAGGAGGACGCGAGGCAGAAGCAGCAGCCGCTGCTGCTGCTGCACTGACAGCTGACGATCTGAGACACCTGGAGAGGGCGATGCTCCGCATGCGCCCTTCCGAGCTTCTTGCATTAGATCAAATGGGGGTAGGCCTGCTGCAATTGAGGGACTTCATGCGTCGACCTAGCCACAAACCAATTATGGCAGCTGCTTCAAAGTGTGCCTGCAAAGAGCACGAGGAACAGCAACAACAGCATCAACAACAAAGGCCAGCGGCACCTGAGAGAGAATATGCAGCGGCGGGAACACTTGCCCCAAGCCCTGAGAAACGTTACTGTATCCCAAGGGGTCAAGGCACACATGCTTTTGGGTGCTGCTCTGCCGGAGAAAGCCGTCAGGGGCCCACTGTGGGCCCCTTGGACTTTGTAAGACTTCGCGCAGCGCTTGCGCTAGTCTCTCTGCTACGAGGAGTCCCCTTGCAACAAGTGGCGAAGAGTTTTGGCTGGCGGGAGGGGCAACTGCAGCAGGTGCACCATCAGGCTCTGCTGAATACTTCTCTCGTTGCTTCACTATGCGACCGGATGGGCCATTGGATTGTTGCGTTATTGCTGCTGCAGCTGAGGCAGCGGCTGTTACTGCACGAGGCTCCCGAACAGCAGCAGCTGCAAGAGCTACTGGAGGTTGACGGCATATCTTTGCCAGTCGCGCGCCTGCTGCAGCAACACCTTAATGTGCATACACCTAAGCAGCTAGCAGCAGTGACGCCGCAGAAGCTGCTGCGGCTGCTAGCTGCTCACTTCCGCCATTCCCCGCTGCAGCAAATCGTCCTGCACGCCAACAGGGCAGCGTCAGACCTAACAAGAAAAATCCTCAGGGGACTGAAAAGGTACTGCAGGAAAAGGGTGAGTCTCGTGCTGCTGCTGCTGCTGCGTCTGGAGCTTTTTCTGTGGAATTCTACTGTTAAGGGTCTATATTGGTGTACGAGTTGAGGGAATAGCGTTGTTGCTACTGCTTCAGTTCGTGGCATCGGCTTTTACTCCTGTAGCGTCGGAACTCTCCAACTCAGCGGATGGATGGTGTCATCCGTGCTGCTTCTCACTAATGTTTCTGGCATTATTGCTGCATTGAGCTCTTTATTCTTGACTTCGCTTTTTTCTGCCACTGCAACTGCCGGCTACTGCTACCGCCGCTCATTGTAGTGGCCGAGAGTGTTCGCTTTGTTGTAGGCGAGAAAGCCACAGAAAGCCTTGCAGCAGTTGGAACAGCAGCACCAGCAGCAGAAAAAGCAGCCCACAAGGGAGGCAACAACAAACCAAAGCGAGGAGCAGGAACAGCAGCAACACTGTCTGGAGCAGGAAGCTACAGAGCAGCAACATGTTATACGCCAACAACGGCGAAGCTTGCAGGAGCAGCATCTGGAGGTGCAATATGTGGAGCAACAACATTTAATAGAGCAACAGCAGCACAATCTGCAGGGGCAGCACCTGGAAGAGCACCATTGCCAACCGGTGCAGCAGCGATTCATGCATCAACAACACCTGATGCAGCAACGGCGGCAAGAGATACTGGAGCAGCATGCGCAGCAGCAACGGCAGCAACAGATACAGGAGCAGCATACGCAGCAGCAACGGCAGCAACAGAAACAAGAGCAACATGCGCAGCAGCAACGAGAGAAACACGAAGAATATAGTCCAATGCAACAGCAGATGCGCCTGCAGGTGCAGAGATTGCCGCAGCAAAAAAATATGGGGGAGCGAAAGGGGCCGCAGCAATACCTTGTGGAGCGGCAACAGCATTGCAAGAATGCCGAACAGCAGCAGCAGAAAGTTCAGTTGCGCCTCCACCACGAGCCACGTACCCAGCAGCAGCAACTGCTGTTGCTGAAAAAGCATGACCAGCAGGGAACACAGACGAGTGACAAACTGATTTGTTCCCTTTCAAAGGACCAGCTGGAGCACCATGAACAGCCGAACAAACCACAACTACCGCAGCTCCAGCAGCAACAGACAACATCTGACGGAGAGCCAAAACAGGGGCGTCAGAGATTGCCGGACTGGATAGCGAATCTCCAAAGGCATAAGCGGTGCCTAGAGGAATCTCGGGCGGAGCAAAAGCCGAAACGGCAGGCGCAGATGCCACAGCAGACGGCGCAACAAAGTCATGCCCCGGATGCGGAACGGCAAATGCACCCAAATTCAGTGCAGCCACAGCAGCAACAACAGCAACAGCAGCAGCAGCCTCTGCGCCGGCTACCCTGGCCATCCCTTTCGGCTCTTTGCTGCTGCAACGATTCCCAATTGACTGCCCAGAGGCCCTCTGCTAAAGCGAACCCCCTGCAAGATGGAGCTCCGCTGCGCGCAGCAGCAGCAGCGTCAGAAGTTGGTGGACTTGCAGAAGCAAAAACCCCCGACAAAAGAACAGGGAAAATCAAAGTGAATCGTGTGGGAAACAACACGCGTTTCTCAATTGATGACGCACTACTGCTGCCAAAAATCTGCAGCAGCAGTGGTAGCAGTAGCAACAGTGACAACAGCCGCAATAACCAGCTGGCTGCAGCACTGGAGCGATCTTCTTTTTTTGCCGCGTGTATGTTGTGGAGTGAGCCTCCCGCAGATGCTGCTACAGTTGCTGCTTCTGCTGCAGGACGGGATTCCAGGGGCCGCGGGGACTTCAGCGATAGCAGCAGCAGCAGCGACAGTAGCGACACTGGCAGTAGCAGCAGCGGCAGCGATGAGGAATTTCCTGAAGGCCCCGATGGGTCCCGAATTCGGCACAGACAGACCCTGGAAGGTGTTCCTGCTCCTGCTGCCACTACTAAGAAAGCAAAGACTTTACCAGGAGAGCATTTAGGAGCATCAGGGACTACACCAGCAGCAAGGCCAGAAGCGACAGTGCCTGTCGCGCTACTTCTTGTTTCTCCGCTTGACGGCTGCTTTGTTGTTCCTTCGCTGAGGCCTATAGTGAACAACAGCGGAGGTTCTAGCAAGGCGGCATTGCGCTTTCCTGCTCTAATAAACCAGTGGTTAGCAGATAGACGGCACTGTCTTGCTGTGGCAGATGCCAGCGAATGGAGCTTGCTAATGCCTTATCTCGGGTGTACAGCGAGCTTTAGTAAGCTTATGGACCCCAAGCTGTCTCATGCAATGCTACAACAACGGAGAACGCGAGCTGCTGCATTGGCGGGGACAGCCAGTAGCCATGCGGGTGAACGGCTGCAGGAATGCATCCAATCAGCAACAGAAGTAACGCCAGCGGCAGCAGCATCTGGAGCAACAAAAGTTGATGCTGCTCCGGATCTTTTTGATGAGGCAGCAGCTCCTGTTTCTGTTGAGGCATGGTGTTCCCTTTATGGAGTCAGTTTCACGACGCATTCTAGCGGCGGCGAAGACAGCAGCAGAGGAATCAGCAGCCAAGAATGGTTAATGTCCCTCGCTGCCGCTGCTTGCTGGGAATGTGTCTGCCTTCTTGGCCTTCTAGCAGTACGCTGGCGTGTACAGAAGCAAGCTTAGCAACGGTTCTAGCAGAAGCACCTGCAGCAGCAACGTCAGCATTACTGCTTTTGGCCGTTTGCTGACTGTGCAGATATGTGTGCGTCTCGTTGACTTGTTCATTGACATGTGCTGCGGTTTCCTGTGTCGCAACTGCTCCTGCTCTTCCTCTAGGTGATGGGCGAAAAACTGGCAGATGCAGGCCTCTTCGAGGTGTACCTCCACCTCGAATATCCACTCTCGCTGCATCTTCTTCGCATGCAGCAGCAGGGACTACCGCTGCTACTGAAGCCATTACACCAGCTTCTGGAAAGAGGGGCGCGTTGTCTTCGAAGCCTGCAGGTTTGACATATCCAGAATCAGTAGCCCCAGCACCAACAATTACGCTTTTCGCAGCAGGAGGTGTTGTAACAGTGCCCTAAACAGCGGGTAGCTTTTTGAAAAGCTGCAGGAGAAATGACAGCTGTGCGCCGGTATTAGCAACTGCTTCCGTTTCCATGCAGTTACATATCAGCAGTAACCACAACGAGGCTGGAGGAAACATTGTCTTCCATGTGTCTCGCAGGAGGCAGCAGCTCAGCTAGTGGGCCGTCCGTTCGTCATTTCAGATTCGGAAGCGCTTAGAGCTGTACTGCTGCAGACTCCCGAGGTACTGCAGCTTCTTTTGCCTGGTGACGGCGACAGCACTGGGAGCAGCAGCAACAGAAACACTGGTGATGAGGCTCTTCTGGAGTCTGCGCATGTTTTACTACTCCCACAGGACGTACGCTCGTTCTCCTCCTGCACTGGTGTCACTGCTGTTGCGCTGCGTGCTGCTGCTGCTGCTTAGAGGTTCTGCCGCACCGAATGCTTTGTAGTGAGCTTGTTCGCATACGTGTGTGCTGCCACTGAGGCAGGTGCCCTCGTTGCTTCGCCGCTTGAGGTTCCAACACCCGTTGACTTGGATTCTCTGCTGCTACACCACGCTGCAGCCGATGCAGCAAACCATTGCTGCCATAGCAGCAGCAGCGGAACAGACTCCTCCCGCTGTGCTAACAGCAACGCCTCCCGCGACTGCAGTTGGCGATGCAGCGGCTATCAATGCCGCAGCTGCTACTGCTGCATACTGCTGCCTGCATCACCCCTTGTGCACAGGCGTATGTAGTTCAGGAGCGCAACAGCAGCAGCAACAGCGGCAGCAGCTGCGGGCGGCTCCCGAGCGCCTTCTACCGCGGCTCCGCATGTGCTACGCTGAAACAGCAGCAGGAGGGTGGCGGGTGTCCTTACAGTTGCCCGGTGCCCTCCAAGCTGCTGCTGTAGGTGCCGAAACGCAGCAAACCCTCAAAAGTTTGCAGCAGCAAACGTTACACGAAGAACTGATGATTCTTACACTCCGGCTGCAAAATCAGCAGCTGAAAACAGCGGAATCCCGTTTCAGGCACCCAGCAGATGCGGTCCTGTTAGTACTGTTAGAGAGAGGGCAGCAGACGCAACAGCAACAGCGGCAAGGACAGCAGCAGCTGCCGCCTGGACTCAAATCCGAGTCTTTTGACGTTTATATACATCCCGCAGCGTTAAAAGAGTCCAACATCAGGATAGGCGGAAGCAGTGCGAATAGGCACTGCAGCAACAGCGCCACCTGCCCTCGAGGGCAGCTCCTATGGACCCGCCGAGAGATTCAGCTTCAGGCTGGCATGCAGCAACAGGCGCAGCAAAAGCAGCAGGGGCAGCAAAAGCAGAAGCTACAGCAGGTATGGCCACATAGGCAGCAAGACCAGGAACAGCAAAAGTGGCAGGTGGAAACAGAGGAAAAGGCTTCTTCATGGGTGGCCGCAGTGCGGCTGTATCCGACGCACAAATCTCACGCCACAGCAGCAGAAGCAGCGACAGCAACTGAGAAAGCAAGAGAAAAACCGGAAAATATTGATAGCGAAAGAGACCACGAAGTGTTGGTTCTCCCTGCGTCGCTACTGTTCCGTTTGGAGGCTCCGCTGAGGCTAAACGCGTGGCGGTATGGAGCGCAGCAGCATCAGCAGCAACAGAAGCAGTGCCAACAGACACAGCAGATGCAGCAGCTGCAGCAGCTGCAGCGCGAACAGCCGCAGCTTGCATCTCTTCCTCCAGTAGGTATATTTGACGTGAGAAATGTTGTGGGTGTCACTGAAGGCTTCCTTTTAGTTGCTGCAGAGTTGCAGCATTTAGAGGTACGTTGCTGTCACTGCTGCGGCAGAGGCTCTGGCCCTGCAGCAGTTGCTTCTATGAATGCTTTTGTTAGGGCTTTTGTTGCGTTGTGCTGCTTCTCTGCAGCTGATTGTACTCGCCCACCTGTCAGGGTACATGCCCTTATTGCAGTTGTTGCGGCGGAACAGCAGCAAGCCTACATTAGCTGCACCAGAAGCGCCGGCTGCTGCTGCTGCGGCGAAAGCTGATGCATTAGCAGAGTTGAATGCAGCGTTGCTTCAGTTGCTGCGTCAGCCTCCACCCAGCAGCGCCAACAACCATACCCAAGTCAGCCGATGCTCTTAATGCAACTTTGGCATTACTGCGTACTGCCAGTTCCGCATCATTATCCTGCTGAAGTGTGTATCTGTCGTGCGTTTCGTTTGTTGCTTTTGCTGGCTAGAGAGCTCCAGTTGCTGTGTGTTCATGCTTCAGCAAAACAAACAGTCAGAGCAAAAGCAGAAGCAAGAACAAGAACAGCAAGGCCAGCAGCAGCAGCAGGGGCTTTCTCCTCAGGAGGTATTGGCTCATGCATTGAATTTGTGGACTTCCCGCTGTGAGTCACACGGGAGAGCGGTGACAGTTTTTGGAGTCAGCTTTGCGACTGGAGACAAGCGGTGGCAAAGGTGGGTGGGTCTCCGGTAGCTCAGTTGTACATACAGTTTGGCCTTATTGCTCCGCTAAAGTTAAAATGTTCCCTGCCTGAGGGCGCGATGATGTATGCCGCAGCCATTTCTTCTATTCTTGCTGCTGCCACTACTGCCGCTGGTGTTCTCCTGCCATTGATACTTCGCCTGCTTTGTTATCTTGCTGCTGCGGCTGCCATTATTGCTGGTGCTGTTTTCCAGTCATTGTTTCTTCATCTGCTTTGTTAGCTTTCTGCTCCTGTTCTCACTTATACTGCTGCTGTCTTTCTGCTGTTACTTTTCTGGCTTCGGCTTTTGCTGTAGACGCTGCCTGAAGGCTGCCGCAGCAGAAGTGGTAAAGGCCTCTTTGCTGTCAGTCTGCAATGCGGTTTCCGACGCCCACAAGCGGCAGCAGCAGCTGCTGCTCCTGCAGCGGCAACATCAGCGAATGCTCCCAAGGCAGCAACAGCAGCAACAAGGGCAGACTCCGTGTTGCTCATCGCTCTTTAGGCAGCCTCGATGCCTGCCGCTGCTGCTGCTGCGAGATGGCTTCCTTCTAGAAGCAGAAGCCACAGGGTTGTCCAACACACTGTACGTATGGCGTAGTATCTTTGATAAATATATACAATCCCGTAGTGTTCGGCTCGTACTGAAACGTGAGCACGCACGAAGATACATGTCATTTATGTGATGATGCAACGGCGCTCTGGCCAGCAGCATCTGCTGGTGTAGTGACTCCTACTAAAGCAGCTGCTGCAACAGCTAGTGCAGTAAGTACTGCAGCATCGAGCGTTACGTTGGGAGAGCATCTGATTGCGCTCATATGGAGATGCTGATGCTGCTGTTGCTCAGGGAATGGGTCCACGAAGTGCTGCGGACGTCGGTTCCTCTGGCGGCTTCCCCGGCTGTGCGGTTTCGTTGCGGTTTAACTTGGGGGGATCTTGAAGGCAAGATGTCTTGAGCCAGAATTGGCCATGCGGCGCTGCCAGCCTCCCTTTCACCTACATGTGCGGCTTGCATGCGCCATAAGAGAAGCTATCTCGCGTCTGCGGTGTTTGTACACCCCAAGCCTGAGGTAGCTACCGAGCAGCGCTGCACTGACAGGGGCCAAATATACCTTTTTGCTTTTTGGCTAGGAGAGTAGACACTGAACTGTCAGGAATTATGTCCACTTCGCAGCCTTAATCGTAGTGGCCAAGACGGCCGCTGAGCCGAGTGGCACTTACTTGCCCCTGCCTTGGGTTACGCCATAGGTCATTGAGCCCTGCCACAGATGCCAGCATTGCCACACACTCAGGAGGTTAGGAACGTAGCTGAGTTCCCAGTGCTCGTTACGACACCTCTGCGCTGCCACTGCAACGGCCTGTGGATGCCTGTAGCCGCTGCTGCTTTACAGCTGGAAGACTCACCCCGGCTAGCTGCAGCTAGCTGCCGCAGCTAGCTGCCGCTAGCTGCAGCTAGTTGGGGGTGAGGCTGCGTTCCTGTGGTGAGACGAAGCACAGGATCGTGCTGTATATCTGTCCAACTCGAATGTACTGACTCGAAGTTTATTTCACCTTATGAAGTTATGCTTAGCCTCTCGAGAAAAGTAAACAATGTGCCAATTTCATCCATTTGCATGCAAGATGCCGTGCCTCCAGATCCCGGTGCGCAATTCCCCCTGCCCGCTCCCCGGAAGTGCTTCCAACGGAGTTTATAGACTTATTAAATCAACAAGTTGAGCTAAAATGTTAAATTGTTCCTCTAAGTTTGGCTGGGGTGCTTGCAGTTGCATAGCGGTCGTGTCTGTACCACTGGCTTGTGTGCCATTGCAGCAGCTGGGCGGAGCAGCAGCTCCTGCTATATGAATGCTCCACAAGCTTGCAGCCATATCCCATTTTTACAGTCCAAATCTTAATATTTAGGGGCGGAACTTCATAAATAGAGAAAATAGAACGGATGCTACGAGCAGTTGCACCTTTACGACTCACTGCCTTGCGACAGCAGTAGCCGCTGCAGCTGCTGCTGCTACTGTCACGGCGGGAGCGGCTGCTGCGGCGGCGCCTCCTGCATATGCACTCTAATATCTTGAGATCCCAAAACTCTTTTTCCTAGGAAGCGCTACTGCTGCAGCAACTTAGACTTAGCTGCTTCTCGAGCTGCTGCCGCCGTTTCTAGGTGAGGAAGGCAATGGTGGCTGTTGTTGCTGATTGTTGCTGACTGTTGCTGCTGCTACAGCGACCTCTTCTGCTTCTTCTTGCAATGAATACTATAGCTCGCACGAACATGCTTCTAGGCGACAGCAGCAAGCGCTCCAACGACAGTTTCGGCGGCCACTGTGCCGGTTGTTAAGCCGTGCACAGCAGCAACAGCAGTAGCAACTGCAGCTACAAAAAGTCGTTCACGCACAGTGATCGCCAGTCACACTGCACTAGCTGCTTATGTTCGTGAAGTGGTGTTCTCGAAGTGGTGCCGTAGCATCAGCAGCAGCATTAGGAGGAGCAACCGCATTAGAAACTGCAGCAGAAGAGAAGGGCGTCAGCAGTAACAGCTTCAGAAAGGACGTGCACTCTGCTGCTTATGCTGCGCTGCCGTTTGAGGCGTCAGGTGCAAGGATTCGCAGCAGCAGCTGCTGCCGCAGCAACGGCAACAGCAGAGTCAGCAGAACTGCATTACCTACGTGTTGCTGCGTTTGCGCAGAACCTGAGGGTTTGGTGACAATCCCATCAACACAATGGGCAACGTGTGCGAGTGGTGAGCTCTTGTTTTTGCTGTTTCTGCTGCTGACACGGCTGCAGCTGCTGCAGCAGTTCGCCCCTTCCCCCTGCCGTGGTCGCGCGCTGAGCTTGATGTTTCTTGTTGACCTACGGCAGGCTCACATGGTTACTTGTTGACCTACGGCAGGCTCACATGGTTACTTGCTAATTTCATTCATGCATATTTGCTTTTATGTATTACCGTACCGACCCTAGTTCAGTTGTGTCAGCTTACGCTTGCCACTTTGTACACTGATACTTAGTTGTGTTATTTACTGTGGAATATTCCAACAACAGCGAAAGGCCACAGCGATGGCTCAAGGCCGATGACGCGGAGGCAACTGCCCCCACCTCTGTTGTGCAGTGTGAGCGCTTGGGGGGTTGGGGTTCAGGTTTTGGGGTTTAGGGGTTGGAACCTGCCCGCCGCCACTTCCGTCCAATATTTTTGTCTGCATGCTTTGATCACGCAGTTTCCGTGCTACATTCTCTCTAGGTCGCTTCTTTTGCACGTTATGTTCGAGTTTTTCTTCATCCTATTTCCCTGTTTCCCTTTTCTAGTCAGAAATTGTGGGCGGCAGGTGTAGTTCTGTGTTCACCTTGTGCGTCGGTGCTCGCATACGCACATTGGTGTACTTCCCTGCATGCCTGTGTGTTCATATTTGTTTGGATAAATACATACATAAGCTTATATTTGTGTTCCTTTTGGTATTTGTATTTAATAGGAGCATGCTGGTGCATGTGTTTGCATAAACGCACGTTGCCTGTGCCCGTTGTGGGCATTCTTCATCTATGTGGATGCATTTGTTCACGTTCATGCTCATGTCAGTATGTGCACAAGCATAATTCAGGTCTGCGCGTGTCTAGCTGCAGTGCTTTTGTCCCCACAGATGCATGTATCTGCACCCGCACATGTTGCTATGCGTTTGCTTTCGTCCGTGGGTATACAAACAGAGCACCCGCATATGGTAGTTTGCTGGCTATTATTTGGCGCAGACCGCTGCACTGCGCTCACTTCAGGTGTGCATACAGCTGTTGATCTACATTATGGTATATTCATCATTCTAAAGCTTGTTGCTTCTGAACGCGCGATTACCGCCTTTGCCGTTTCCTGTTGCTCCTGTTGCCCCTGCGGCAGTAGCATTCATAGTACAAGTGCTTTGCGCTTTCGCACCGTGAGGGCTATCCGGTGGCTGCCGCTGGTGCTTAATTTATGCGGCTCTCCCGCAGCTCAACTGCTGCTGCTGGTCGCAAGAGCGTTGTTCTTGAACCTAGCCGTGGCCTTTTGGGTCTCCTAGCGCAGTATTTTTGTGTGGGCCTTTTCTTATCATTACTTGTCAGAGTCTTGGTGTCCCGTCGTTCACCGCTACACTTACGCTTGCTTCTGCACGTGTGTACATATCTGTTCGTGTATGCTTGTCCGTTTCAGTTTATCATGTCAGTGTCTTGTTTGAGTATATATTTGTCACAGCACTTGCACGCGCATACTCGAATGCATTATAAATGCATGTGCTCGTTTATTTGTGCATTTCAGCGCGCTTCTGTGTATTTCTCTCAATGTAGATGTGTGCGTGTACTTGTATTTGGATTCAGACGTTTTCTTGATTTTATCGTGTACTTGTCTATAAAGTGCATTTACACAGTGTTTACCTGCATTCACGTTTATGTCTTTTCCTCTCGCCTCTTTAGTCGGGGAAGGCCCGGTGGCCGGTCGGTGGCGGAGGGCCAGCCGGAGAAGGCCAAAGCGCTGCAGCAAGGTGCGTTGCTGCAGCTGCAGCTGCTGCTTCTGCTGCTGATGCACGTGCTTCTCGTGCTGCCGCTGCTCGTCCTGAGGCACAGTGACGCACAGATGGTCTCCAGTCTGTGGGCGATTCTATCCACGTGGTGCATGCGGCCTATGAGTTAGTGCTTTTTTCCGTTTCCCTGTGGTCTTGTTTTTGTTGGAGTTGGCGGCGGGCGGGAGGGAGATATAGGTGGAACTAACTAGTTGCTGCTGCTGCGTTGCGGCTGCTGCTACATCTGTTGCTGTCGCTGCTGCTTTGCGTTTGCTGCTAGTTGTGTAGCTGCTGCTGCTGATGCAGTTGCTGCGCCTTTTGTCGTTTTGTCGTTGCAGCCGTTCTGACTGCTGTTGTGCTGCTGCTTCTGACGCTCGTGTTTCCGCAAGTGCAGTTCTTCTCTCAGTCGCTGTGACTGCTGTTGTGATAGCTTCTCCTGCTGCTTCTGATATTGCTGTTGTCACCGCAAGTGTAACTTCTGTTTCAGTTTGAGGGTTCTTAAGCACTGCCGGATCAGGCAGCGGCTACTTAAACGGTCGTAGCCATTTCCAGCAGCCATGCGTTTTCGGTGTTGCTGCAATTACTTGTGTTACTGCTTTTCACAGTGACCGAGGACGATTTGGACAGCAACGAAGGCGATGATGACGTCGTAGACGATCTTCCCGTGGTGAGCAGCAACAGCAGTTGCGGCCAGCAGCCTCTGCTGTAGCAGTAGTCAGCTAGAACACACCTACACGAATTGTATTACTACGTATTATACCGCTCTCATTTTTACTGGTGGCGGCAGCAGCAGAAGCAACTGCAGAAGCATCAGCATGGGGTGTGAGTCATTACGCGTTACTCTTAAGGATTAGATAGAACAAGTTATCGTGTACGTTATAAGAAGCCCAAGCTACCTATGGTGTTCGTAGGGTAACAATTGCCAGCCTGTAGTTATGATTTTAGTGGTTGTTCTTGTGTTTCCAAGCAACAGACAAAGTGCACTTGAGTTTGTTATCGCTGCAGCCGAGTGCAAAGGCGCAAGCAAAAAACAGGCAGTCCGTCAGCGCCGAGGCCTATGGGGAGTGGAACAAGAAGACTAACTTTGTCGCTCCCGTAAGGGTTTAGGGCAAACAACCTAGGGTTTCTGGGCTCACTTTGTCGTTGGGCAGACTTCCGGAGTGTGGTTCCTTAGAGGCGTCTTCGATTTTTGCCTCACTCCTTGTTTTATTTTCTTGGCTCCTTGTGCGGCATTGCCATTCCTGTCTATGCTGGCTGCGGCGCGTGGTCTGTGAACAGGTCCATCCAAAGACCCCAGAGGTGAAAGAGCGAATTCAGGAGATTCTGGACAACTCTTTCTTGTTTAGCGTGAGTTATGCAATCCCCTTTCCTGTTCTTTAGGGATCACGGTTTAGGCTTTTTACGTATTCTTACAGAATTGGCGGTCATGGTCGAGTTTGTAGTCATTACTGTCTACGGCATAGGGAAACAGTTTTCAGGTTTTAGTCAAGCTTCAAATATTTCATTTTGAGTCCTGACATGCGGGGTTTGATGCTTGAAGGCTCTTGTTTAGTGTCCATTGTTTAGTTAGGACTCAGGTTTTGCTTATTTTGTACGCAGTCTTTGGATGTGGAGGAGATTGACGTGGTGTTAAATGCGTTTGAGGAGGTGGTTGTCAAGAAGGGTGAGACACTGATTAAGCAGGGCGCTGATGGTGACAAATTATATTTAATAGAATCCGGGGAGGCGGATGTGTTCAAAGAGGTTACAAAAGAGGGAACGAATGAAAAAGAAACCCTTAAAGTGAACACGATGAAGCCAGGAGACACAGTGGGAGAGCTGGCTCTCATGTACAATGCACCGAGAGCAGCAACTGTCGTTGCTGCAACGGACCTCAAGCTCTGGTCTCTTGACAGACAAACGTTCACTCACATTGTCAGGGACGCAGCAGCTAAAAAGAGGGAAATGTATGAAGAGAGCCTGAAGGAGGTGAGCCTTCCTTGCTGTACTCTTTTTTGCGCACACAAATTCTTTACCGTAGATAGTTAAGGTCTCGCCTGTTATTTCTCTGTTTAAGCTTCTACCCTAACGTCCATCGGCCTATTGACTGCCATCTCTCTCTGAGGCAAAGCCGTAAAGCCTTAAACGCTGAACTCGCAACCTCCATCCGTCGCACAATTTGTTGTATATCCACCCGTGCTGCACCTGCGTCCCACAACACCCTCATTTAACCTCCGAGAGCTGCATATTTCGGGCTTTCGTACCGTGTTTGGCTTTGTTTCGTTTGGCTCTGTCTCATTTGTTTGTTTGGATTATTTTGTATTTTTGTGGTTCTGTGTCATATATCGTCGTTTATGCTTGTTTGATGTTTGTGTCCATAATTGCGTCTCCGTTTCACTTATCTGCATTTTGTGCTCAGCGTTGGTCGTCTGTGTTGGTACTTGTTTGTAGTCGTGTGTGTTTACACCAAATTTTGTATATTGTCTCCCGCTTGCGTACTCCACGTACTTCTGTTATTTGTAACGCTGCATGTGGAACAGGACAGATTGCTTGTTTCATGTCCACTTTATGTTACGCTTTGTGCTTCCCTTTGTCTTTCCGTGACCATGACATTTTTAGATTTTCCACTCTGTGTAGTGTTCTCCCTGCTCGTTTAATTTGTGTCAGGTGGAGCTGTTGAAGGACGTGGATGCCTACGAGCGCAGCAAAGTGGCGGATGCGCTGAAGTCGCAGTTATATCATGCCGGGGACACAATCATACGCGAGGGTGAGGCCGGCGACACATTTTATTTGCTATTAGATGGCGAGGCTGAGGCGGTGAAAGGGGGGAAGGTAGTGATGAAGTACAGCAGAGGCTCCTACTTTGGCGAGCTCGCACTCCTCAAAAACCAACCTAGAGCAGCAACAGTCACCGCCAAGACGGACTGCAAGGTGGCTTACATGGACAGGAGGAGCTTCAAGAGGCTACTAGGGCCTCTTGAGGGACTCCTCATGAGAAATATGGACCACTACAGAGCCGTCATGACGCAGCTGGGCCTAGACACCAAATATCTGGACAAGTAAACTGTGCTCTGTGCGAACCCGCTCGCGCCCACGCCACCCCGTCCATACTTCTCAGCGCCCGCTGTACACTAACGCATCGTACTATTTTATGATTTTTTATATTGCCCTTGCAGCGTTATATTTGGTCAACACAAGAGGGCGTAGCCGCTGAGGGCAGGAGCAGCAGCTGCTGCACGCACGCGCAGCAATGCACAGAGGAAGTAAATAACGATTTCCGCAACTCTGGCTGCTGCTGCTCAAGCGACGCTGAGCAGAGCAGACGCTGCAGCACGTGCAGCTACTTCAGCTTCGCTGCTGTAGAGGATGGCTCGGGATTGGCCGGTCGGGGCGAGGACTCGTTTTTCTCTGATTTTGTCTTAACCGCAACGGCATCAAATAATTAATGCCTTTAATGGGGAGGGATGTAAGAATTTCGGTGGAGGACCAGCTACAGATTCAGCAGTACACCCGCCAAGGGGCAGCACTCAGATGCAGTGGCTGATGTGCGGCGTGGACTCTGTCTCTGTTGTGCGTGCTTGTTTGCTCTGTCAAATCTTTTGCTTTTTTTTCCTGGTGTGCGTGTTGGCTTGCTGCTTTGCATACATGCTTTTCTGCTGTGTTCGTTTACTTGTTCTTGTTTGCTCATTTTATCTGCCTTTATATATGTTCGTTTCTTTATTTGCTCTTTTGTTTGCATGGTTGGACATCTTTTACTGGTGTGTGCCTAGCGGTTTGTGACATCAAGGCGTGAACTCTGTGACTTTTTGCCTATTTTCACCGTCTTCGAATGGAAGGATACTGTTCATGGATATACCAGAGGACGCACGAAGGAGTTAGACCCTTTACCCAGAGACGTAGAGCCAGGGAAAAACAACACACCATGGAAGCCTACAATGCCCAAAGGTCACGAAACACACAACGACGGGGCCTATTCCGTCTAGGGCAGCTGTTTCCACGCGGAAGCCGGAGCATGCTGTTAAGGTGCTGGAGAGGACCCTCTCTTTGACTGGCTGTTTGGAGAAAGGTCCATCCTACACCAAGTAGATCAATTAGGCCGCGAGCTATTACGGTCTATGACCCAGTGAGTAGAGCGAGGCAAGGCTGACCCACTGCAACACAGAGGCAGCCTCCGGCATCCCTCGCCCGATATCTCAATTTTCTGTAACGTTGCATTTCATTATTAGTGTGAAGTAGTAGCTTAGGGACGTTATTACGACATTATAGCCCAGGGGGCCATGCAGCTGGTTTCTTCTGCAAAAGAAATTGAATTTTGGCGTAGGCGTGCACTGTGCAGTGCTTTGCTTTTAGATGCGGCAGTCCATGCTATTTATGAGCGCACCACACCCAGCACACCCCAGAGCAGCGTCACTAGTACTTAATTCATTCATGAAAACGAGTCATTCGTACCAACGGGCGCCGAATGGAAGTAGAATTGAAGACGCTGCAGTCAGCATCATCCGGTGCTCGCTGGGAATGGAACACTTGGCGCAAGTTACTGCCAGCCCGCATCGCGTGGATTGCATTACAGAATACTACGAGCAGTCTAAAAGGTGAAAAGCACTTGCACCGCGCGACTCCTCACCATTCTGTGCGCGGGGTTATGATGCTACCTCCACACTAATCTGAGGAACTCCGAGTCGTGGCTGGAGTTCGAAAACCTACTCTTTGCAGGGTCTACAGCAACACGCTTACTGATATGAAAAACTGCGTGGCATGAATGGAACTGATGCCTCGCGCGCTACCCACCGGTAAGTGCCACTACCAATCTGCTGTTCTCAACTCTTCACCTTATGACGGAAGGTTGCTTACAGGAGCAAGGGAGCTAAAATATAGCGTTCCACCGCGTGCCTCTTGATATAAAAAAGTCAGCAAAGAACAATGAAGACAAAGTCCAGGAAGGATGAGAGGCAGAACTGAATCGTCTCTCAGCCCTCCCCACCCTCAAGAGAATAAGCTGTTGAATGTTTTCGACTGTACAAAGTGTAAAGCCCTCCACGCCTCTGTTGCATTACGCAAAACACGAAAGACTGACGCCGAGAATACCTGTCTGCACCGGAAACACGGTCTAGTAAATCTTGGTCTCCTACTGTTCATAGCAAGCTAAATGCCACATGCAGTAGGGTATAATAACGCAGTACGACACATCTCAGCAACTGTTTTGCATTTTGCTGAAGAGCATCCCTCTGCCATTATACTTCGTGTCCTTCAGGCGCAAATTTTCGTTGGCCGTGTGCTTTGTCCGTCCAGATCCAAGACCAGCTTCCAGTTCTCCCGTGTGTTGCGTAATAAATGCGGTATGCGTAGGCATCATCTGTGCTAAGAAGGCTTCGCGGAAGATATATCGTGCTTAGCAAAAGCACCCGCGAAGCCAAGGCTGTCACGCCACCCAGTGGTGCATACTCCAGAGTGGCATGCTCTAGGAATGCAGTCATCAACACGAGCACTTATGCTACTTCATGCGGACCATCCCATTCAACGACATCACCCCAATCAACAAAATCAACCCATTCCGATGAGCCATAGGCAAAAATAAATAGACAATGCCATCAGGGAAGGCCTGGCGTCCTCCCCAAGACAGATTTCAACAAGCGCATTGAACTGTTTCGCTAATCAAACTAAAATCTCCGCCACCTCAGTTCAGTCTTCACATTGTAAGGCCCTGATCAATGGCTAAGTTTTCGAACTATATCAGCGATATACCAAGCAAAGCAGCTGCCAAGGTAATAAATGTTGGCGAAACCACCGGTGATGAGCTCTGTAGCACTTGGCGTATCTTGACCCACTGGCTCTCCCTGTTATTCAACCACAAGGAACAACAACAGTGGCAAACATTAGTTGCTGGCATCCACTGCATGCACCAAAGTACTATTCTTGCTAACCATGTTGATGTGGTGAATTTGATCTGTGACAGCAACGGTCCCGACACCTATACATATCAGCAACCACTGATGCAAGCATTTACAAAATTCCTGCGCACTAGAAACTTACGTGAATGGCGCCTTTCCCTGAGTCAAGGCGACCGGATCAATTATGCACAGAAGAGCTCTGAACTGTGCAGCAAGCCGTCTCGTCTGTGCAGCTGGATTTGAAGCCTGTGCCCTGCTTTTGCCTTCCTCGTCTTGCGAGGGCAATTGCAGGGTGGTGGGCGTGCCGCTAACATCAGGAGGTGTTGGCTCTTCCTCGTTGGATGGCCGCGGTGGGCACTTAATATTTACGCAAGTGGCTGCTGGGTCATCCTGCGTGGTGAAGAGCGCCATGAAGGAAAGTATGCGCCAGTCGTCATAAGGCTTAACTCCTCTCTCGTAGGGAGGAGGCAAGGAAGATCCGAACTGCGAATATGCATCTTTCCAGTACCGCACGGCCGCCGCACAATCCCGCGACTCCCCCTCCTGCACCATTGCCGCCAGGCTCACTCCCAGAGTAGGCATCGATACATGGGGATCACCTCCCTGCAGAAAGGCAGAGAAGAAGCAGCAGAAGTTACTGCCGGAGGCTCAAAAGTCAGCCACATAAGGGCCACAGACTGTGCTTACCTCGGCATTTCTGAAGTCGGCATCTATGCCGTCTGCAACCGCATGTCGAAGCTATTCAGGTGTTAGCGCCACAGTACTATGATAGACAAATTTAATGCATGCATAGCTACTTATATAATGGTGCGAATGCTCATCATAAGCCCAGAGACAATCGTACCTTTTCAAGGGCGTTGCACAGGGCCACGTCGTCGTTCGCTTCTTCGTCCCCATAGTTTGGGGTTCTATCCTTGAAGGTACTAAATTTGGGGAGCCCCACACTCTCTCTCACCTTATTGAGCTCAGTCATGCAGTCAACAACCTCTACAGAGCCGCAGCACAAACATAGGGCAAGGCTAGGAATTAAGGCATGTTGTCTTCTGTGGATTCCTTAGAGCTTCTTTCAAGCAATTGGTGAAGCCCTGAAATACTTCATGCAGCTCAGAAACCTACCGACAGAATCATCTTCCGAGCTTGAAGACACCTTCGGCAACAACAGGGTGCTGGCGAGAGCCAGGAACCAAAATCCCATCATGATTAGGTCCAGATCCAGCAGTAGTAAAGAAATATATGCAAAGAGTGAAGACAAAGATATATTGAAAGATTTGAAATGAAGATCAAGAAGAAAGCAACAGCGGAAGGCTCTTCACCGCACCCACTGCACTGGAAGCGCTTTCAAAGACGTGCGGCCGGGTGGGTGATCTGAGCGCCAAGAGAGCAATACTCCTACAAATTCAAGCGGGAAACACAACACTGCAGTCATTAATGTCTATCAGTCCCCTTGAAGAGAAAGAACAACCGGTACGCTGTGCTGTACAAGGACGAATTCGTTCCTACCACAATCGATCTGTGGGCCAGCTCATCTTCTTCACCGTTCATTCACATAACTGTCCTTTTTTTAACCCAGTTTTACTTAATGTCGTGTTCCAAACAAATGTGAGCCAAAGTTTTGATGTTGGGTGCCGGATTCCAGCCCATAAATTCCACCGTGTTAAGGCGCAAAGTAGAAGCTGGTTAGGTGCGGCATCATGTAGCAAACTAAAGGGAAAAAAGAAGCCAAGACCTTACTGACCAGTTCTTACTATGACACAGCATTGAAAGCGCGTAGCACGCTGAGGAGAATTACAGAAACCATCTCCGGTGGCCAGCAAATCAAGATCGATTCTACGTCTCCCGGCTATACTGCGCTGCTCTATATGCGCACGCGGTTTTAAACATCGCGTTTGCCTGTCACGAGATCCGTAGACACTGTGCCTTAAATCCTTTCACCACGCCCGTTCGAAAGGACAAAGCTGGGGAGCTCGTGAGCGAGCAGTCTACTCCCAAAAGTCTTCGGAGTCACCCAAAATGGGGGAATATTAGAGCATTCACTGGTACAACTTACAGGGTGCAGTTTCCATTCTTCATGGGTACCACCATCTGCCAAGAGGAGTGAATAGACTAGCTAGCAGTTACATAGCATGCGGCCGCCGCTATGGCAAGGAGAAGCGAATGCAGCTAATGTTCTTCACTGCAGAGCCGCTGAAAACTACATCGATGCGTTTCTTTATTCAACTGTGTTGCATTTATATTCAACTGAGTTGCGTTCATATTCAAATGAGCTGCGTGTTCGCCCGACGCGCTGCCATTTTGTCGACATTGAACCGCACTTAACATCCAGCCTGCTCAACAGCTTCCAGAAACTGTACAACTACACTGGCTTGAACTTTTACTAGTACCATTTATAGAGCAGTACTCTATGCAGTAGTCGCGCATACAGCGATCAACTGAAGCTCTTGAAACTTCGTAAAGCAGATATAGGTTAAGTCGAAAGATGTGCAAACATCCCAAAGAGTGGAGGAAACACTGTCCGCGCTTCCATCTTTTGTGTGCGACGGAGGAAGCAAGAGCCAGCTAGCCCACCTCCGTGCACGGCGTTGCCAAAATAAAAACAGCACACTCAGAAGTTATGTGCACTAAGACTTATATAACACATATTCAAACAGAAAAACAAAACCATAAAGAAGGGAACATTAGTCTTATGCATCCCTCCAGGTGCAGCGCGTCTTTCCTGTGCTTCCATTCGCAGTGACTGCACTGCAGCTTACCATTGTGAAATGCGGAATCCAACAAACCAAAATATCATAATACCACGCTGTATACCCTTATCGTGTAACCTCCCCAGTTATATCTTGCAATCCCACGAAATATCTGGATCCCGACGAACTGAGAGGATGTGTGCTTTGCAAATGCACTCATGAAAACAAACATGCTGACAACGGCAGCGTCTACTTCCGAAAAGCTGCCGGGTCCGGAAAAAAACAAAAAAAGAAATCCTGAATCACTCCCTGTAGATGATCGGTGCCGAAAACGTCTCCAGCCACAAGTAAATGGCCGTTTAGATATCATCTGCTTTCCGCTGTTTCTCCTCAAGCACTCGTAGATGTGCTGCAGGCTCCCTCCGCATTCTCTTCCCTGACAGCCGCCTCATGAGAAACAAATGTTTCTTCCAGCTGCTCTCGCTGCTGCTCCTGCTGCTTCTGCTCCTGCTGCTTCTGCTCCTGCTGCTGCTGGTCTGCTTCTGTTGCTGCCGGGCTCTCCTGCACCCTTCGCTGGGCGTACAATTCCAGAGTGGGAGTTAACTCCGGCTCCAAAGGCAGGATCAACGGTGAAGCAACGGCCTGAGGGTTATAAGTGGCGAAAACCACCAAGAAAAAGCTCAAAATAAACGGGAGGTAAGCCATTGTACATGTCGCCGGCAACAGGAATGCAAAGCGGGGCTCGAGGCGATTAGAAGGTTTGCACAGAAAATGATGGCTAAAATGATAATCTCAAGCACTTTAAATAGATGTCATAAAATGTTGAAGGTAAAACAAACTCTGCTTGTGAAGCCTGTGCGTGATACTCTGCGCAGCAACACCGGCCGCTTGCATTACATGTTGCAGCATGCAGCCCTGACCAGTGAACCAATGTAGCCCTGATAACTAAAGAACAATAAAAAAATAGTAAAGCCGCACATAGCCAGCTCACTTCTAGTGTTTGTGGGCCAGAACGAAACCTAAACTGTATTGGCCAGCGGCAGGGTTTGGCTGTCCGGTGCTCCGTGGACTTTAGTTAATAACGTCTCCTCGGGAATTTGTACTGCGTGTTACTGTCAGATACTTTACACTACGGCGAAAATATTTGACTCATTCAAGGCTTACGACTTTTCCGCTGAGAAAGCGTGCCAGAGAAGAAAGATACGGTGTAGGGGTACAAAGGCCGTGTGCCACCGGTCAGACTAATTCTTCACTGTGGCTTATGGACAGGCAAATCCTAGCACAAATCTGTCGAAATAGGCGTCCACTTAATAAATACAGTCAGGGGGAATGTTATGACACTTTAAAAGGTCAAGAAGACATCCTGTTCATCGTAATGGACCACAGCGCAGCCGACGCTGGGGTGACAAAAATGGCTCACTGCGCTGCGAGTACCCTCACGCTCACAATGCAGTATCCACCTACTTTGTGGGCATTACACGGTGGTCCAAGCTTGCAATTGCACTGGTGGGGGAACCGCTGGAGACGCACAGATTGATTGGAAATATTCGGCGCTTCGGAATACGCTTAGAGTCTGACTCCGGACACTCTGCTCCAGCTTTATATTTCATTTTGCTTTTTACAAGGCACATGCCAAAGGCACACCGTAAGAGCTGTCTGCTCATTTCGATTCCAAAAAAGCTCTTGTGGAAAGGCCAGCTCCCATATTATCATAAATGAGTTGACTGTAATGTCTTATCCACTGATAAGAACTAAAAGGAATCACCTTGGAGCTGTCTAGAACTTGGTATTATCTTTACAAGGCTCAGTTGGCTTTCCAGGCATAAATGGAAAGACAGGCCAATACCTGCCGTGCACAACTGGCCAGTTCCCCTGGTACCATCCGCGACTACCCAAATGATACAAAAACAATTTTCCTGGATTCATCATACTTCTTTAATAAAGTTATTGGATACAATTGCACAGGAGAGCCGCTCGGTCAGATTGTCCTCAATTCTGAGTCAAGCCCAACGAACTATATCCTCAATTGGATGCAGTCGCTCGTAGCACAGAATTCACATCGGCTGAGCTCTTTTTGAGACCAAAAACGGCTCGCGCTCTTACTCAATTGGTGCCAGCGTTAGACTGTGCAGCCAACTGTACAGAAAATGCGGTTTTCGCGTCTCTAATAGCTTTTCCGCCTCTGGGTGATAGTTGTCGGCTTATGCTGGCACCAGTATTCAGCCCGCAAGACGCGCCAGCCTCAGTCAGCTAAATTTCTAGGCTTCTTTTTCCCTCGACAAGCGTTATCAAGCAGTGATATACTCGATAACATATCGTGTTTTCTCCACGCATGCCGAGGGAAGGGAATATGATTGACGGATTTTCGGGGCTTCCCACTTCGAGAAAAAAAATCAACGCACGCATTGGAATCCCATCAGCCCTTTCTCAAAAATTTGGATCTGTTGCTGTACTAGTAGTTTCAAATGGATGAGTTTTCCGTATTCACACCTGCATGTAATGGTTTCGGTTCATGCAGTAAAGCAGCGTTCTTCGTTACGAATCAGTGAATCAGAGGGAGAATCTATGAAGGAGAGTCTGTGGTGTACTGGCTTTTAACCAAAAACTTTACACTATTTCACGAACAAAAACAATACGAGACCGTGTGAAAACAGAAAAGAAACGAGTGCAAAACCTTTGATACAGGTACAGATGCAAAGTTTTTATAGGCGGTTGATATATTCTGATCGGCAAGGAGTGCGGCTGCCTGCATTCTTGCGATGGAACGAATACGGGTTCATTGATCCTCGCATGATATTGGAACTCAGACGCACATTGGCATTGTGGCCAACTAGTTTCAAATTGTCCAACTGACTTGGTTTTATTAATGTGGAAACTGCTAGGAGGCTCGTTATCCCCTCTTTCGCGGAAGCCCCACACGCGCTTTGGACTTCCTGTACGGCTGATCAAAATCGTGGTTGTTGCGGTCTACAGTGCAGCGTGAACTATATCGTCAACTGCGAATCCAGGAGATTTTAATAGACAAACAATGCCCCAGTTATTCCCTCTGTTCACCGAATTCGTATTGCGTCCCAGAGCTGGTGTAGTGCACAGGCACTACAATAGGGCTTGTTGGTGACCTATAGAAGATAGCTAGCTGGTGACCTACAAGAGGTCATAACGCGGAACGAGGACAGGACCCTCTTACTAGGATCGAAGTAAGCCAATTTGTCGGCGAATTTGCATGTATACGCTAGACGTGCCTGTAAATAATTGGAGATTGGGGCTGGCCATAGCGCCGGCACCAGTGGAGGCCTCCTCCCCACAGGGCCTAGGAGGCGAGAACCCCGAGTGGGGAGAATTTTCAAGGGAGCAGTCGAAAAAAACTATGAATAAATGCTTTTCGTGATATTTGGACTTCCGTTTCAAAGAAATGCGCCGAAGGTACACGGTTATCATAGGCCCCTACTCGAGGGGGCAAGTAGCAGCGTAGTCGAAGCAGTAGGTGCTGTGCACTACAGCTCGCCTGGCGGCGCCAAAATGCATGCAAGCCATCAGCCACCTCGCAAAGGGTGCAGCAGGATTCTCCAGCAGAGTTTGTTATCAAGTCCTACTGCTTAATCAAGTAAGGGACTAGTCGGTTTTTCGTGCGTCGCCATTTTGTAATGAACATTATGCTCATAAGTGAAACTCACAAGTGAGGAAATTCCAGGGGGCAGCAGGACCTGCACTCACAAGTGAAGAATTTCCAGGGAGCAGCGGAAGCGGCTGCTGCAGCGGCAACAGAGTCGATAAACCCTACCTTTAGGAATATCACAAAAATACTGTATGTTGAGGAGAGGACAGCTAGAATTTCAGTGTTTTACAGCACGAGCCCATGATTGTTTGGAGTTCTCAATAGTTGGGGATAACGTGGATCTATGAGCGGACAACGTCAATAACACTTCTGTATGACCCACTAAGTGCGTAGCCATGTCAAGCTAGGCAGTGGCAGCAAACTTTTAACTACTACAGAAACTATCTGGGGCCAGAGTCTGCACTATAAGCAAAACTGCTACAGCATCTGATCAAAGCAGTGCCGGGGTTCATCTGGACGAATGGACATACAACATTCGGCAGTAAGAAAACTCAACAAAGCGTAACTTTTGTACACACTGTTTTCTCTGACCACACGAACTCTCGTATCAATAATTTGTGCGTGGAGGAAATAACCAAAGCAGATAAGCCAGAAGAAGAGTTGCGGATGTGCAAGTCAGATATTCAAGACTAAAATGCAGTAAGCAACTATTTAAAAACGGGCAGATTTGCAACTGCTCTCAGGCACCAACTCTACCTGGAAAGATGTACCCGACCAATAATTCAGCGGAAACTAAAGCCATAACTTCGCTAAACGCTAATGCTAGAAATATCAGCTGAAAATTAGTGGAATAGGTTTCCACGGCCGCTCCTTTAATCTGATTAGGGAAGATGATTAGGGCGAGCTAGTCGCCGCCTTCGGTCAAGCTGGACGGCCAAGAGGCAAACTGGCAACAGAGGTTGGCAACAAAGGTTACCGCTAGAAAACACATGCCAGGAAACCAGTAGAACACTGGTAATGTCCGTCACTTGCGAGCCCCTGCAATATCAAAAGACTGTGTGTCGCATAAGGCACATAACAACCTACTAGGCACGCCAGTATGAGCTCTAAGCCGTGCAGAAAAGAAAAGCGGCCAAGAAGGCGGAAGAGTGGCAAGGACAGAAATTCCCCCCAAGGTCCAAAGGTGCGTTCAGTAGCTGTTCTCTAAGAAGTGGTGCAGCAATTGGAACGGCAGAAAATATGCGAATCAAGCCCTTTGAATAACTTATGGAGACATGAAACGAGAAATACACTCGGGTGCTGGAGGACATTCTGGGCTACGACCACTGAAGCATAGCTGCCCGACAGGATCACCAGGCATTCTTTCGAATTTCGCAGAGCTTTTGAACACGCGTTTACTGTGTACCATGACTATTTTAATTGCCAGCGAGTTCTAGCCCTAATCTGGTAGACAAGTGGGCTAATTTTTTGTAAGGAATCAGTGATATGCTATCTGAAAGCTTCCCGGGGACAACGCCACCTAAGAAAAAATTGTGGCACAGGGCAAATTTTATTCCACTAGCTCTGTACAGTGAACACGTTTTGTGCTGGCCCCCTTTTGGGCGATCTTGTTAGTTAATTAAACTGATATTCTTACAGGTGAACACTTTATTTTGCGAAAAATTATTATGGTTAATGTCGCACCTATACACCACATTAACTCTCTCAGTGGGCCGTATGATGCCGGCACTACACGAACACCGCATGTACGAATGCTCCGCATCAGGTGCGGAAAGTTCCTAAGCAGTACTTCAGCTTCTTGAAGTAGGATAAAATAAAGGCCTCTTGCTGCCGACGCACTTCTCGAGCAGGATGCCCTGCCGCTTGGCGGAGGCGTATCAGAGCGAGACTGTACAGCTTCATGGACAGATTGAGAGTAGACAAAAGCGCCACAGCTATAGTGGGGGGCTAAATATTTTCTTCTAATGCTATGATCTAGAAAGAACTACTTGGTCCCGAAGGACTATGATGACGGGGTTTCACGTGGAACTAGACTAGCCACGTGGCGGGTTGCGGACAGTCCCGCGACTCATGGACCCCAAGGGTTGGTTATTCAGTGCCTCAGCATTTGAAGGCTTAAAAGCTCCAGGGCCTGGAAGAGTTGGGCGACCAGCGTGCAGAAAGGCGAGACAAAATAGCGAGCAGAGCGTCCTTCGTGCGTCGCGAAGCTGGCCAGCTTGATGCTTCGGCGCCAACCATAGTCAAATGCGCCATGCCAATTAGTGTTAAAGGCTCCAGACTCCAGAGTAGAAGGAAAGGAGCTATTACTACACGCGAGTGCACTACGCCAATAATGCTAAAGACTCCAGAGCAGAAGGCAAGGAAGTATTCCCTTGGCTCGAAGCCCCATAGTCCGTGAAGCCGGGTTGCGGCCAGTTGGTGCGGACGGCGAGCCCCCAATCGGGGGACCGGAAGGCCAACACATGGCGATTAGGGAAGGGTCTGATTAGCTCGCGGCCTACGCAAGCAATACCTGGGTAATTAGAAAAATTATACATAAAAAGACGCTTCAGGTGCTGAGCTTGAAAGGCAACATGCACGAAGCAGCCCTCTCAATCAGCACAATGAGCGGGGCGCAGTCCTACGTTCCCATTACGCGGAACGTGGAAAAAAGCAAGTGGAAAGATTTCTTTTTACTGGCTTTACTCAAATGCTCCACTAGTATTCACTGCGTCCACGTAGCAGATGCGCAACACGCAGCTAGCTACAATGCTCGGGTGTCCAGGAGGGTGCTCCACGCTGCTCTCCGACACGGCGAAGGATGGCGTCGCCTGGCTGGGGGTTGCGCACAGCTTCCGGGTGGCACAGCTGTTGCAGGTTGAGGAAACCGGTGTCGAGCTCTGTGCGAAGTGTTTATTTGATGCTGGTTTAGACTGGTTCTGCAAGTGCTGTAGTAAGTAAATCCGTGTGCCATCTTTGTGTCACAGCTGGGACACACGGCGGCATCCTTCGCGAGCTTGCTGTTGAAGGCACTGCGTTAAAAACAAACCGTGTCCTCACCCTCTCTGTTAGCCCTGACTTGGTGATGACCTGTTTTTGCTGCCCCTCTGAATTATCCAGTGTTCCCTTTTGTTACACCTGATCCCCAGCTCCCGGTTCCGAATTACTCCTTCCTGCGTCCTTGTTAGTGTCTCAGTTAAAAATATCGTTGTTCCTACGCTACAGCCGCAAATACTCCAATATTGTATCCAGCCCACAAGAGGGTGCCGTCCTCGTTAACGGCATTTGCTTTATGAATATGACAAGGATGTTTGGGGGATCTGTTGCTTCGCACGGCAGTAGTTGCAACACATTACACACCTAAATTCGCAGTTCTAAGCTTCTGTGTGAAGGATGAACGCATTTGTCTAAGGTCGAAACGCAGGGGCCTTGGGCGCTGTTGCTGCGTTTGCCCTTCCACTAGACACACCGCCAGTGTCCAAACTAAATGCAGTTTGGCTGCAGGCTGCACTTGCTATGTACTAGGTTACGAGAGCAGTGTTTGGCGAACTGCCCACTACAGAACAAGCCAATAGTATGGCCTAAAGGGGAACTGGCCCCTCCAACAGCTCTCGTTACGTGTACCTGTGTCCTGCTCCTCAAAAGAGAGAAGGCAAATGGACAGGTACTTTACTTTTTAATGCCCTAAGAGACAAGAGACTAAAGTGCACTACGCACGACTATAGAATACTTGGCAGTAGCTCTGCAGCTAGAGTAACCCGTTGGCCCTTGTCCACAACGGATTTCCAGGGCCCCAAGCCCTGCGGGTGAAGCTGCGTAGCTCCGGGGCAAATCTTCTCAGCCACTGGCCAAAGAGGCCTTTATTATTTTGTGCTAAACTAGAGCAGCACAGACTGTGGGCGCGTTTCAGTAGCCCGCGCAAAACTGTCGGGGCGAGGCTCACACCCCAGGGAGCGAGTGTGTCTGGCTTTCAGCAGCAGCAGCAGAGCAGCAGCAGCACTGGAAGCCACTTCCCCAATTCAAGTGGAGGACATTCTAATCCCAAAAGTGCGAGTAAGGCAGCCCGCAGCGCATGCATGAGCAGCAGCTGCGACCTTCCCTTTGGCCGGAGTGACCGCCAAAGGCCAGGACTTCCGCAATTGGAGTTGCCCCCTTTGGCTTCCGCCCGCGCCCAGAGGGGCTGCCCTGCAGAGAGCGCTGCTGCAGCTCGCGGCAGCCAGACTGCTAAGCGGTTTGCTGCTGCTGCTGCTGAGGGTTCAGCAGGCTGCTGCTGCTGCTGCGGGCTCGCGGGGCAGCAGCGGGGCGGCCGCGCCCTCAGCGGTGGGGGCCCCCCAGGCCCCGAGAGGGGCCGAGAGGCAGCAGAAGAGCGCAGGGGCCCCTCTGGAGTCGGCAGCAAAGCAGAGGCTGGCCTCGTGGGGGCTGCTGCTGCTGCTGCTGCAGCGCTGCGGGCTAGGGCGGAGTCGCGCGTGGTGGTTTGCGGAATAGGTTCTGTTAGACATGTAAGGAGGCAGGAAGCGAATTAAAGGCCCTCGAAAGTTGAAGATTTAGAAGGGCTTGGGAGAGCCAGTGGACCTTAGTGAGGCCGACGCAGGCGACTGAGTAGAGGGCGGGGGGAAGGCTGCGTGTCCTGTAGGTCGGGTGAGTTTGTTTCTGCTGCCTGGGGCTGCATTGAGACAATAACAAAAGCTCGAGGAAAAATTAAAACGTTTTTTGCGTTAACTTTTAGCGGTCGTGCGGAGAAAGCCCCTCTGCTGCAGCAGCAGCAAGAGCTGTAGAAGCAGCAGCAGCAGCAGCAGCTGGCCACACAGCAGCAACTCAGACGCCCTGCAGCAGCAGCAGCACGTGCGTCGGCACGAAGCGTGCGGGGGGAAGTTCAGCGTAATAGAAAGGGAGGCTCTGCAATATCGCAGCCTTGGCTGTTTCTAGGTGAAGTACAAGTA